CTGTCCATAGCGTTCCTTGACAGTGTAGTTTCTAAGTCACCAATTTAGTGCTACTTGGTCCCAATGTCATTTCCCATTGGAAACCTACTAGCACTAAGTTGCTAACTGCTTAGCAAGATGCTTCCGACAAACCAACCACAACCAAACTTGCTTTCCAACGCTACAGCGACTGATATCATTCACTTTATTCACTTGTGTAATTCGGGCACCACTCAGAATTTGGAAATGCAGTGGCTGGAAAAGCCACTTCCCTAAGACTTTAAGATTCCCCCAAACCTTTTTGTGCTGAGAACAGATCGAAAACATTTGACCCCAAAACATTGGGAAATTGCATACTCTTCTGTTAATAGTTTAATTATATGGGACCTTTTTCATGTCTCGATCTACAACCATAATTGTTTTATTATTAACATAATAAATTCCTAACTTATTAATTAGTATACCGGTATATAAAAATATATTTTTGCATTTCTGATTAAAAGTACTTCAGGGTGTTGGCCCATGTGGCAGAGACTAGATGCTGCTGTGTTTGTGTTTTTGACCAATCTGGAAACGCACCATGAGTCAATGTTTAAGCAAGGGAATGCCGTGTATAACCTGGACATTGAGGTTCCACAGTGTGATGGAATTAGATTGTTTCATTTACACAAATCAATGTCCTTGTTTGAAATTTACGCTGAGGTTTGGTTAAAATCACACTCAATAAAAGTGATATGAAATCATATGTGTGTGTTACTTTGAGATACAAGTCACAAACTGTGAGCAAGAACGTTTGAAAAGTCTTGGGTAACGAAGAAAAAAGATAATCTGTACTGCTGCAGTTTACTAGAAATACTATCTATGATTATTATCCACAGATAACTGCTGTAGTCTTGGTAAAAGCAGTCATTTTTAAGGCAACAATTTCCCACACTTCTATTGCATTATAGAAGAAGAAAAGCTTTAAAGGTTTGCGGATTGTAGTCTGAGAGCTGAGCAGCAGAATTAAAGGAATGGTTAAAAGCCTAGCAGTGGGAAATACAGGGCTGTAAATGATGTTTGCACAGTTACGGAAGTAAAAATAATACAAAAAGGAAAATAATTTGATCTGAAAACAGTCAATGACTACCGATGGAGGAAAGAGGTGCAACATATGTAAATAATTAAAAGTATTTAATAGTAAGAAATCTTAATAGTTCAGAAAGATCAACCCACGACCATGCTAAATCTCCTTTTAACAATTATGCACATCTCCAGA